CATTCTTGCAACAATGTGGTAGTGTATCTGGCAACGACCTGTAGTGTATTCTTTGCAACGATCTGTAGTGTATCTGGCAACGATCTGTAGTGTATCTGGCAACGATCTGTAGGTATTCTTGCAACGATCTGTAGTGTATTCTTGCAACGATCTGTAGTGTATTCTTGCAACGATCTGTAGTGTATCTGACAACGATCTGTAGTGTATTCTTGCAACGATCTGTAGTGTATTCTTGCAACGATCTGTAGTGTATCTGGCAACGATCTGTAGTGTATCTAGCAACGATCTGTAGTGTATCTGGCAACGATCTGTAATGTATCTGGCAACGATCTGTAGTGTATTCTTGCAACGATCTGTAGTGTATCTGGCAACGATCTGTAGTGTATCTGGCACGATCTGTAGTGTATCTGGCAACGATCTGTAGTGTATCTGGCAACGATCTGTAGTGTATCTGGCACGACCTGTAGTGTATTCTTGCAACAATCTGTAGTGTATCTGACAACGATCTGTAGTGTATTCTTGCAACGATCTGTAGTGTATTCTTGCAACGATCTGTAGTGTATTCTTGCAACGATCTGTAGTGTATTCTTGCAACAATCTGTAGTGTATCTGGCAACGATCTGTAGTGTATCTAGCAACGATCTGTAGTGTATCTAGCAACGATCTGTAGTGTATCTAGCAACAATCTGTAGTGTATCTGGCAACGATCTGTAGTGTATCTGGCAACGATCTGTAGTGTATCTGGCAATGATCTGTAGTGTATCTGGCAACGATCTGTAGTGTATTCTTGCAACGATCTGTAGTGTATCTGGCACGATCTGTAGTGTATTCTTGCAACGATCTGTAGTGTATCTAAATCACTGTACCATTTCAAGGTAGCAGGATATTTTATTGGCAAGACAAATGTTAATATCTATAATCGTATAAATTTTACAAGGAATCATACAATCTATACATGTTTGGAAAGCCCATGACTTGAGTCGACCAGTCAGCGTTGCGAGCAATCTCTTAGAGAAGAGGCATTAATTATAGAGCAGCAGCCCTGCTACGCTACAACGCTTTGGGGAGAACACTGCATTAACACTTAGTACGATTTAAATCTGGCCAGTTCCTTAGCTCGGTCTAAGTGCCCAAAACACCATTGTATTCAATGTTCATTTAGACAAGATTTTTAATCACAATTATGTCACACTAACCAGAAACAAACCACCAATTAAATAACAAGGATTATTTATGACCAGAAATTTAATGTACTCCACATACAAGTAAGAACATGAGTCGACAGTGATTTACCGGTACATGGGATCAATGACGACGCAACTAATTTCGAAATTTTATTTCCCCTCAAAGATGTAATATCCTTCTAAATGTGTCACATGATAAATTAAAGGATGATGCTCGAGTAAGCGCCCACCCCTAAAAAATCATGATTTTCTGGGTTGAGTACCCTGGGCGTTAACGCGGTCCAGTACAGTACCTCCATGGTGTGATACGAAGTAATCCAACGTAAATATCGTATCATCACTCAAATAACACAATGTTGTCACATGACGTTGACTCAACGACCAACTCGTGCAACTCCCACTTTTCACTTATCATAATAGCACATACAATTACAATGTGGTGACAACATTATGCAGCAATAGAAATTTCACACGCTTCAGAAATTGTAGTCAGATCTCTGCAACTGGTGATAAAACAGGGAAACATGGCGAGTTGAGTTTTGAGGAAGTACCCATCCAATACAGTATACTCGCTGTTAAAAAAAAAACCTCTACAGCAGAGATCAGAAAAGTTTGCTCTGGCTATTTTTGTTATCCATGCGTAATTTATTTAATATTCCGTAAATACTAACAATGTATTTGGATGACAATTGTTCTGTACCCCCTCAACTGTCATAATAAAAACCCGAAATAATAACTTAACAGCCACGCATAAATGCACACAATTATTGAATGCATTGCAGCATGGTCACGAGACTATTTGTGGATGCGCACTTGTATACGTAGAATCCAGCAGTATATATACATACTCACCTAGCAAAGCGCAAACCAAACACGCAAAGGCAAGAAAATGTTTCATTTTGATGGTACTTTAGATGCCCTCAGTTACAGCACAGGCTCACACGTCTTGAAAAGTAGTCACGGGACCACTCGGTGACCTACTGCGGGATTTCCCACCCTGACCTCTGTGCTATCTTTCAGCATTTCTTTGGCAAAAAGTACCAATCCTGTCATTTTAACTGCGATTTGAATCGTTTAGGTTGCTAATCTATCACTTATCTTGAGGTGACATCAATTACTAGTTTGGATTATTTTCAAATAAATAGATGAACCAATAATTAGTTCTCGTCTCCGGTGGGAGTGTGTCCATCAAATTAAAACACGGAAGTAAATTTCGTCTACCGATCACATGATTACACGATTGTAAATCCGAAAACGCTCGAAGTGAATGAGGTTCACATTGTGTCGTGTGGTTTGTCTTACCTTGTTGAATAATTTTGCGTGATGAAGCCGTCAATCGTAGCCGATGAGATGTTTCCAGAGGGAGGTGGTCCTTACGTCGATTTGGAAGAGGTATGGCGCTTATATTTCGAGGCCCATTTTGGAGATGTAAGCAGATGTTTTATGTCTGCTGTTATTTTTGCAGTTTTTGTTGGTCTCAATCTGCCGACAATTATTCTTTCATTTGCAGATATAAACCAGCAGGAGCTACAGAATTACAGCAACTCAATACTTTTGTATCTCTCATTCGATGTGGATTTCATCAAACCGTGGAAATAAAAAGAGACTTTTTATATCCATGATTAAACCTTTCATATAATATAATTGGGTGTCATTGTCCATTTCATGGTCCTTCACTCCTTGTATGTTGTAAAGATCATTATCACTGATTGTTCACTGGTTTCTACATACTGCCATAGTAATAAAAGCTATATAGCAGATACCTATATTGTAATATTAAGTATAGCTTATGGAATGACAAGCTCCCTATACAGGCGTTTGAGGTCACAAGGCTTGAACCATGGAGATAAAAAGATGTGCTGATGTGATTATGAAGACTGGGAATACATCATATTGACAATTTTTAAAATCTCAATTTACTACTTTTGACAAAGTTCTGCCATTTTCAACACACAAATTTAAAAGTTAATTTCAAGTGGACACTTTTCGTGGATGATAATTTTCATTTAATGAGAATGACGATGTTGTGAACTTTTGAATGGAATCACATTCAATTCTTTTTTGTCCCATTTTCGTCCCATTGCCTTTGGTCAGTCTTATTATCTTGTGCAGCGTGATTTTCTATGTTTGTGTGTTGTTTGTACTATGGTTAGGCCAATCGTATTTACTAGTTACTGACATGCCTGATATATACCACAAAATATGATTACCCTGGAACAAAGTACCTTGTACTTCTTGCATGCCAACTATTGTTTTTCTGGTGACATGGGTGAATATAATTAACTCGGGGCTTTGGACAGGAGTCGAATGAATGGCCAGAAACATCCCAGCATGGTTGGCAGGGCAAGTTCAATTGTACATGCTTAGTTGATATATCAGAACTTTGTTAAACAGTAATTGCAAATATTTGTGTGAGGGCAGGGATTTGTAAAATTTGTTAAATTTGTAAAATCTGTATGAAGAAATTAATAAATCAATAATGACATTTTTTTTCTACAACGGCATTTCAAAACTAAAGTCAGTGATTTTTCATTGATCTATCTATTATTTGTGTAACGCTACGATCTGAACCGTAACATTGTCAGCTGACGGCATTGCGTTGAACGGGTATTCACCGCTGCTGTTGCGATCATCAGTCCCTGACTTTTTTGTTTAAAAATACACAAACTTAGAATGTTTGCTTAATTAAAACGATTCATTGATGATTAACTTAGAAATTACATCAAAATCGCCAACTTCATGTTGTTTTTAAACATCGCGGAAAAACATGCACTCTGCGCCGCCATCTTTGTTACCTCAATCAAAATATCCGTTGTAACCCAGCATGCATCGGTTGTGATGTCACTACATGCGTTACGTCTGTCGCCTTAGGGTGGCGTTCCTCGGTAATGATGCACTATGAATGAGGTATTTCTAGAGGTCAGGGTTCGTTTTTTCCTTGTCC